GAGATCAGTTGTTTTCACTGTTTGCAGTTGTTTTGTACCCATCAGCCACCGTAATATTTAGCAAAAGTTTCAAATTGCTTGGAGTATAATAAAACAAGATTTGTGTTGTTTTATTTCTACTCATTCATCTGTAGCTTCCTTTCACAACTGCTCCTGAAATCACTGTATATTTATTATAACCACAAGAGGGCAGCAAATACAAAGTTTTACTAAAGTGTTTGGGTGATTGTGAACTAAATCTGCAGGAGGCACATAAACTGATGTGGTCATTTCAAACTCTGCAATAAGGACATTAAAGGATAAAGTTTTTGATTAAAAAAATACCAGAAGTAATGTATTATTAAACAAAATAATTTGTTTTGACACAATCTAAAAGTGGGAATATTTAAAATGATGTGTGTGCATCAACTGTTGCTGAAATAAAGATGTTTTGTCAGGGTGCCCAACAGCAGGGACTTTCCTCATCTCAGGTGGTCTGTAATTTACTGGTGTCAACAATGTTTTTACGGCAACTTTTGACTTCAAAGCTGCTCTAGCATTAGAAAACGAGCTTCATAGGTCAACATTCTACCACAGTGGCATCATAATCGAACATATTAATGGTTTTAACGTAAACAGGGTGATATTTAAGAATAAATATTGGGTGAGAGCAGCTTCAGGCTGTCTAAAACATGAGACAAATAAAAGATTTATTATAGATGGGGTTGAAAGTGAAGGTTTTGATTTCAGAGAAAGTGAATTACACAGGCGGTTAGGACTTTAAGAACACTTTGAGCATGCACGTGTGTGTGCATGTGTGTTTAAAGGGGATAAAAATGAAGGAGTGAAGTGCTGCCTTTGAGGATGCTCCCTGTGTGACTCCTCTCTCCTACGAGGACACTGCTTGTGTGTTGTTTCAGTAAACAGAGAAGGGTCCTCAGATGATCCAAGACGAGCACATGGCCACTGCAGCCCACCCAGGAGAACCGCTAACCTTCAGACACACACAGACTCACTTTTTCACAGCGAACCCACAAGAAGTTATTCAGACTGACTGAGAAGAGTCTGGTTTTAGACTGGAACTTTTTGTGACTGATATAGTCTCACAAAGTCGACTCAGTGTGCGCAGATCGCTGGAATATTGACTAGGAAGCTGTAAAACCTCAAACAATGTGGTTGTTTTTTAGCTCCACATTTCTGGTCTTTCTCACGGAAGGCTTTCACATTTGTGAATGATATCCAACAAGTCGACGTCAAGACAGTTTGAAGGTTGAGATGACAAGGCGGGTTGAAAAAGAAAAGGCTTGAGATTCTGTGCTGGCCAGGCGCGCACATATCTCACAGGCTTTGCTTGTACAGCCTCGCAGCAAGGCGAAGGGCCCTGCAAACATAAACAGTGGAGCGGCTGCAGCTGGAGCAGGGAGGCAGCCGCTTGCTTACCGGGACCTCTCTACACTAAACAATGGATCAAGTGACGCACGGGCCTTTTGGCAGCGCAACAGAGACACAGGCCTTCTACCAGCACGTCTATATCTCTGCTCTCTCAATATTTATCTCAAAGGAAAATACACAGTTTTCCACTCCTTTTGTCAGTTCCTGTGTCTTCCACCTTCAATGCAACAGAGCCAGAAAACACAAGACTCACTGTGCAACAGCTCTTCATCTCTGACTTGAATCCCATCATAAATTGCAGGTGACGATAATAAATGTAAACTTTACACCAAATTTGTGCAATGAACTGATGTTAACTGTTTTCTATTCGGATGCAGCATGAGTACCGTATTTTCCAGCGTATAAGTCGCTTCGGAGTATAGGTCATGTCAGTCAAAAAAAGCATAATGAAGAGGAAAAAACATATATGTTGCATTTATTATGTGTCACCACTGACCCATCGCGTTTATTTAATGGTCAAAACAGTTTCATTTCGCCTGGGCAGTGCGGTGCCATCCATCCGTCCATCCATCGCGGCCAGAGCTGCTAGCTCTCCAGCATTCCTCCGCTTGCACCAGCTGAGTAAAGCGAGCGTGCACCGGAGGACTCACTGTTGCAGTTCTTCGAAATTTAAAGTGTCAATCAAAAATTGCGTTATGAGTATGAACAGAAAACATGCCTCGCTTGGGCGTATAATTCAATTCAATTCAAGAATACTTTATTAATCCCAAAGGGAAATTAAGTGTTGTAGCTCATCATCCTGGTTTTATTCAAGAGTTGTTATAGATGCTGCAGGAAGGATCTCTTGCAGCAAATCTGAAGAAAATGGCCACAGATATTGACCCATCCACCCGGATCCAGCTTGCTGTCAGATCTGGCTGGCCTCTTGGTCCTCCTGGGCAGCAGGAATGAATGCCAGGCAGAATTCCTCCCTGAGCAATGGTTACTGCTCCCAGCAGTCTGACAAGCTCCTCATCACCACAGACAGACAGCTGAAGGTGCTGGGGGATGATCCCGGTCCTCCCGTTGTCACGAGCTGAGTTTTCCACCAGCTCCAGGATCTCGGCGGTCAGATTCTCGAGCACCGCCTCCAGGTTGATGGGAACTGGTCCACGGCACCTCCTTTTCAGGTCATTTGGGATATGGGGCTGTAGTTGAGATATTTGAACTTTTGCGATGTTAATCAGCTCCTAGTTGTTAAAAAACACCTTGTTGCCATAGTTACGCATCATAACAAATGCCCAAAAGTAAAAAGGTTTCAGTAAAAATCCTTCCAGCGGCACATCATCACCAGAGAAATAATCATCCGAAAAAAGTGATTTACATCCAGAAAAAAGAGGAATTAAAGTTTTCAAAAGCAACAACAGAATGAAAGTAACAATGCTACTCCAGCATGCAGCCACCCTGAGTGACGTAATTCTAGAAAGTCGCAGGACTGACAAATCTATGCAAAATAACTGTGACTTATACGTCAGAAAATATGGTAAACTAAATAAGGATTTGTCTCTCTTGCTATGCAATGCAAGTCAGTGCTTTTAAAAGTCCAGTTTGTAAAAAAATAAATAAATAAGTGTGTGCATCTGTGTTATATCGCTTTTATGATGGGGCACAACAGAAAAAGGAAGGGCCCAGGAGCCAGTGAATTAACTCAATTTACAGCTAACAGTTGCCCGGGTAACTGGATAGGAATGAGGTCCAAATGGTGTATATGTAATCTCGTGATGAATCAGGGGGCAGTTTGTCTTTTTCCAGAGACCTCCTCGGCCTGTTACCGTGACAACAGGAGGGCTCCTCCGGTGTGGTTGTTTGCTTCACTGAGTCACCCAAAAATTGTACTGGTTAATATATATATATATTTTTTTTAATAGGCACCTTTTATTACCTAACTGAACAAAGTACAGAATTTATTGGCACACTGATAAATGCGTACTGTTAAAATATTCAACCTTTATTTAACAGGTTAGTCTCATTGAGTCACGAGGACTCATTTACAAGAGAGACTGTTGATTTATTTCCTTTGAAACCCCTAACTCTAAATTTTTCAATCAGTATTTTAGTTTGAACGACAAGTTCTTATCAGTTTTAGTGTTTAGTTTCCTTGTTTGCTCGTCCAACTCAGTGGTTCACAAACTTTGATGCTTTAAACACACACGGTAAAAGTTGCAGCCACTCGTGACCCCATTTGTAAACAAACAAACAAACTAAAGAAGCTTTTTTCTTTCTTCTTTCGGCTGCTCCATTCTTCAGGGGTCGCCACATTGAACAAAGTCGCATGAAGACTTGGCGATTGTTTTTACGCTGGACACCCTTCCTGATGCAACCACAGACCACCGAGCTACCACAGCCCTCTGTGTGGAGCAGCCATAGGGCACCTGGGGGAGCAGATGGTGGGGGTTAAGGGCCCAGAGTGGGGCCAATGAGGGTGGAGGCAGGCACCTTTCCCACCCACATTTGATGTTTTCGGTCCGGGGAATTGAACCGACAACCTTTTGATCACAGCTGCAATTTGACAAAAAGCATCATAAACTTTTTTTATGCTTTTATGATCATTATGTTCTATATAATAGCTAAAAGCAATCATTTTTAAAGTTAAATTTATTTCCATAAATTTTCACAAGACTTGGTGTTTCATGAACAAGTGGGGGTCCCAAACCTTGACTTTGGGAACCACCTGTTTCACTGCTTAAACACATCAGACAAAAATGTGACAGCACAAAGGATGTGTGCTTTTCTTGCTTCTCCTGAAAAACGTTCTTACAACACTTCAGAAAAAGAAAAGAAAAAGCGAATCAAACTAAACGTGCATGCAACAGCGTGGAATGCAATGACACCCAAGACCTCTGGCACGAGGCTGGGTGTGCACCTAACACTTCCCTTCACAAGCAGCAGAGCTCGTAAAAACGATTTTGACAGTAAAAACCAATTTTGAACTTCCCCAGCTCTTCCTGGAAACACTTTTATCTCTGACATCCAGGTAATGTGCAAGTTCAGACTTTTATACGGTGATTGCACTCACCCTCCAAGCAAAACGCATAAATGTTAGCATGTTTAACAGAAGATTAAAGCTTCAGCTCTGCATTCCTTGACACGTTTATTTTCTATTCCTGATTGAACACAAATTGTTACCAAGGACCAAAACTTCGCACGTGTAGGATAAATACTGGGGAGGTTGAAAATAAAGATATAATAAATATAACAAGGGGCCCATGTCAGCTCTTTACTTGTAAATCTAAAGGCTTAGCATTCCTTAAAGCAGAGCATCTGCTGCCTCTTTCATACCAGTTTTAGACTAAGATGATTTTTATATTGTAGCTGTTTTGGTCAATCCTTAAAAATATTATTATGCACAATCCAGGGGCGATTCTAGAATCTGCCCTGTAGGGGGACTTAGCCCACAGTGCTGACAATTGACTCTTTGTTTGAACAACGCATTGGCCATTAGCATCAAAATCATTTGTAATTTGTGTGTGTGTGTGTGTGTGTGTGTGTGTGTGTGTGTGTGTGTGTGT